GTCGTTCGTTTCTTTTTCTTTTCTTTTTTCTTTTTTTCCAGTTCTTTCCCCACCTTTCATTGTGGGAGACTATACATTGCTTGGGTTCGGCTGTGTTTTATTTTTGTTTCTGCCTTGTTTTGCCGTCTTATTTACCGCTGGCGCTATGCGGCTCAGGAGCTTTGCTCACCTCCGGCGCCGCGTCTTTGCCGAGGGTTTCGCTGCATCCGCCGCGTTTTACTTGCCGCTGTCATGCCTGACCTCCTCACGTTATTTTCATGGTCGTTCAGGCAGAGGCGATCTGCTCTTTGTAAACTCGGATGCCCGTCGCCACAACGGGCGGACCCTCGGCCAGCTGCGCGGGCTACGCCACGGCAGCCAGGCTACCTCCCCAGAAAGCGGCCAGTTGCATTACAAGAAGCTCATGGCCCACGCTGTGGGCGAAGGAGCCAAGTCTGGGTCCGAGCAGTACCGACATGCCGCCTGTACGTGGTCCTATCTCCTTCCATCCTTGTTGCGTTGCGCAGAGCTGGCAGTCACCGAAAAACTCTGGTCGAAGTTATGTCAGACTGAGATGAATGGAAGGAGCGGAGATGCGGCTTTGCTTACGGAGCGTGAGAAACAAAGTGTACGGAGTGGGCAGGATTTGTTTCGATATGAGCTTCATCAACGGTTACCCTTGCTTGAGGAGTCTGTGTTTTCTGCCGAACTTCACGAGCTAATCAGTTGGTTCACTGTAGCCCGGCGGGCCTGGGTTCGACTCCCCACCACATCCCCGTCACCCAAGGCACTCTCTACAGACATCTCCGCTGATCATGTGGTTTTAATGGAACGTCCCCTTCTTCCACCGCGTGACGTTTTCTCGGGTGTTGCGCCCCCCACCATGTTCAGAGACACCACACCTGAGAGCTGTCAGACATACAACATGACGCTGCGCGTGGCACAGCTGACGGACGTCGTTGTTGTTCGTGCACGCAATGAAATGTTTCGCCTGGACAACGCTGAGATCGCTTGCGAGGGTGGCCCGAAGAGCGCACGTTTAGCGGCCAAAGGGAAAAAGATGCGACGGCGTCTTGTGGATGAACTGTGCTGGCATGATATACCCTACCAGGCGGTGGTCCCCGATAATGAGATGGGAGGAGGCGGCGGGGAGGGTGTGTGTGCGAGGCCATGCCACGCTTCCACGGCAACAGTTTCTAAGTGAAGTGTGAAGCCGGAGGCAATGCGCCACGCACGTACTGAATGAAAAGAGGAAAGGTGCACCCAATGGACATATGTCACAGCACTTTTTTTTGCATATATATATATATATATATACACCTATGGGTAATGGGGGTGCTTGCTTTATTTATTTATTTATTTATTTATTGGGGGGGGGGATTCATTTTAACCTTTGGTTATGCCAGTTTGCTCTCTTTTTCTTTGCTTTGTGTTTTGCGCCATTTTTTATGTTGGTGCGTCCTCATACGAAGCGATAGGCATTTACTTTGGCACCATTCTGATGAATGTTGTTTTCAGCCTGGTGCGCGCTGAGCTGAACAGTAGTGTCATCGCTTTACTGGTGGTTGTGTTTCTTCTTTGCATGTTTTACTGCCTCCGCCGTGCGCCTGCTCGGCGGAAGCATCATGATACGAGGAAACCTGCAATGAGTCCTGTCCATGTGGCTCATGACACACCCCGTGTGAAGCAGTTGATGGGGAAGTATGAGTTTACAGTAAGAGTGCGGGCATGCGATGCGATGCTGCGCCGTCTCCCTCCTGAGGTATGCTTTCGACTCCGCCTGTACCTCTCATTGATCCTCAGCATCGTGTCGTGGAACCCTCGGCAAGTGGTAACGGTGATTTACCGCGGGTTGGATGTTGTGCGCATTTGGAATGCGAGATGTTACACGGAGCGTACCGCAGCAATTTGCATTCGCAATTGGAAGCACACATCCCTTTCAGGGGATGCGGTTCCCAGTCACACGACGGGGAAAAGAGGCGGCTGGACCTCAGCACAAGCAGTTATTGCTATTTGGCTGGATTGAGTTAGACCTTTGATGTACATTCTTCATGTTATTTTTGTTATTTTTGGGTATGTGTTTCCTGTGTTGTCCTCTTCTACCACGGAGACTTTTCCCTGGACACAGCTGCTGTATCGTTATGATTATCATTGATGCAGTGCCTGGTACTTGCCCAGTGGGAACGTGGCTGCAAACCTACTGCGGCTTTGCTGGCATGTTTGCCGTTGCGTTTTTTTTTTGTTGTATGGATGTATTTGTATTTTTAAGTTTTTCTCCTCCACCTCTACTTCCTTCTGAATTCATTCTACCACAGTCGTGGCCTCGCCAGAACGAGAATAAACTGCTGCAAGACACTCTCTGTCTACATGCCTTTTTTTTCCCTAGTCAGCCTCTCCCTGACGCTGGTCATTATTATTATTATTATATATATATATATATATATCTCCCTCTTTCTTATTTTCTCTTTGTGCGTGTTGTTCGACTCTGTCTTTTCTCACTTGAGGTGACTGGCTGTTCCATGGTGTCGACAAGGTCTTCCCCCCATTGGGAACGGAACGAAACGCGACTTCTTCTCCTTGATGGCGAAAGTCTGCAGGGGCAGTTGCTCTCAGGGCTCTCACTGCTGGCTCTGACCAGCGACAGCAACGCACCCCACACGGCAGTGCCCTCTGGGCCGTTGCGGCTGCGTCTCGTGATGTGTTTTATGGAGGTGGCGTCGAAGTATCCGGCACTGGGCACACTTCTGCTGGAGTGCCCGCGGCGTCTGGACGATATATTGGGGGAAGAGTTGATGCATTGGCTCCGCGAAGAAAGCGCATTGTTTTTGTCGTCTTCAAGCAAATTTCACATTCCACCACGGGGGCTTTGCCATCATGTTTGTGCAGAGAGTCCATCGCCGATGAACGTTGCTTCAGATGCCGGCCGTGAATGTTCCATATGTGCGTGGACTGCACAATGGCCATGTGATTTTTGGGAGGCGGTAGAAAAAGGAACCGTGAATATAAATGTTTACTGCGCACTGAACGCATTTCCCAGTTGTCTCATACCCCACCTGAAGCGCTCGCCTTTTCAACTACCGAGTGACGCATCAATAGGAGCAGAGCAGTGGATTCATGTTATCGGCCAGATTACAGGTGTGTTTTTCCTCAACCGGGAATCCTCGGATCCAGCGCCCATGCTGGAATTTCAACCGTTGCTTTACAACCACAATGGCGTGGTCGGCCAACTACCGCTTTGGCTGGATCTTTCGCTTCTACCGCCCACTGAGCTGCGTGCTGTAGCCGTTGTTGGGGAACGCATTCAAGTATTGGGTCTGCTAGAAGTGGCGTGTGGTCAGATGGGCACGGCGCTGTACTCTAGGCGTCGCTGTACATTCGCTGCTGCCTCCTCCTCCTCTTCCTCCATTGCGTCGGCTGGACAACTTGTGATCGAAGCCCGTGCTGTTCGTACCGCCAATTTTGCTTCACCCTGGTTGCAGGATACATTTATGACAACAGCAGCTTCTGCAACCTATCCTTCCTTTTCGCTAGAAGTTGAGAGTATCTTTGCAGTGAAGCACGAGTGGGAAGCGGCGGCTTTTCTTCAGGCACGATGCAGCTGGGAAAGCGTAGCAGGGGCAGCTGCCTTTGCCTTGGCTAGAGGGTCTGGTGGAGTTTCACACGAAAGAGAACCGAACGGTTCATGTCGAGTTGAAGCACTCTTGGCAGCTTCAAGAGTATTTGCCTTGCCTACAGCGCTGTGGGCAGCTGTGAGCATTGTTTTCACATCCGCAACGGTACAGGTTGACTCCATTGCAGCCTCCGTGGTGGGACCATCCGATAGTATTTTCGTCCTGCAGACGTTTTTGTTGGCATTGGCTTCAGAAACAAATATAGTGATGCCTCTCATTCACGGTAACGAGGGTGCACTTCTCCCAACATATACCAGAATAGCCACGTCGCAGGTGAGCATCCCTGTCACTGTTGAGGTTGGACGCCACATCGAGTGTGTACGTGGGGGACTGCTCAATATGGCTTCCCAACGGGTCCTTTTTGCACCCTCGTTACATGCTATTACTGTTTCAGCCTTGCATGCGATACAAGGCATTATTAAACAACACAAGCATGTTGTGGTGCGTGAAGGGGGTCAGCGCGTGGGATGTCGAGCTGCTGTGGCGTTTATTGGAATGACGCAGGAATCGATGCTGGTGCAGGATCGTCAACTTTTTTTTTTATGGAGCGGGGCGACGTCGTCATTCATCTACCCTCAACCTCCCCCACCGGCCCCGTAGAGGATGATCATTTGGCGATGCTTGAACTGCTCTCAAACAAGACCGCAGGTAATGGGCGGTTTGAAACGGTCACACTTGATCACATGTGTCTCTTTAAAAATCAATGGCAGGCGTGGTGCGGGTTGGCGCTGCAGCCATCTGTAGATGAACCTACTTTGCCGCAGATATCCCCCGCATGTGCGTCTCTGCTTTATTCTTTTTTCTTTACAGCGAAAGCCACTTGTGCAGAGGCTGTGGATGCTAGCATGATGACGACCTTGGTGAAACTCACATGTGCCCATGCTCTGCTACGTCAGAGAGTTCATCCTAGCGAAAGACATGGGGAGATGCGAACAACTGTCGCATCGGCTTGTGCCTGTGGTGCGAAAATGAGAGAGAATTATGACTCTACCGCACTTGTCGATGCTGTGGTGGCGATTGCGCTCTGCGATGCTTCTTTGAACTTCCTTGCGGGTGTCTCCCTTATGGGAGAATCATTCACGCTTGATCACATGGTAAGTGATGCCCACTTTGATGTTGTGCAATTTGCAAAGGAGCTGTATGCGCATCTTCTATCCCACATGCCAACACCGATGTGAGTCAACCTGACTGCTATGGAAGTCCGCCTTCATCATACCATCGACTTGCTGCTGCAAAGACTCCCACTACAAACATAAGTACAGAGAGACGGCAGGTTTTTTTTTATTTTTATTTTTATTTTGATTTTTTTTTATTTTTTTCTTGCCTTTATCTTAGTTCAGAATTAACATCTGATTAGTATTATTATATTATTATTTTTCCACCGCTTAAACTGTGTGGGAAGGGGTGGGGACAGGGGGAGTTGGGGGAATCGGGATGTCGGCGCTTCGCACAGAAAACGCCGGTTGTAGTCCACGGGACTAGACAAATTCATATGCGTCAAGGTATATCCTGCCGTTACTCGTGTGAAGTGGTGCACTTCTGATTATTATTATGTTTTCCTTTTTTTGATTTTGGTGCTTTCATTTTATTCCATTGGACCGCGGCAGCTTCCGCATTCAATAGGTATATCCCTCTCTCCAGGAACGCACACATACACTCACTTACCCACACGATGATGTTTGGCCGGCCTCCTGCCCCCCAGGCAAACTGGGAGGAGATGTACTTTTACCAGAAGCTGCACCACCTCTTTGACCACGGCGCAAACTGGATGATCTCTAAGCTGAACTGGTGGATCCCCTCCGTTGCGACAGGGGATGGCGTTGAGTCTTTTCCTGCTCAGCGAGAATCCCATCGGTGAGGGTGCTGCCATTACGATGCCCACCTTTTCGCCCGTGGTGCGCACGCCCATCTTTGGGTTGCAGCTGCCTGAACGCGACGGAGCGCCCTCCGGAGAGGGCGACGAGGATGAAAATGACGAGGAAGTGTTCTAAACACGCGTGTGCAAAGGCGGAGCTATCACCGACCCCTTCTTCCGCCACCCGTGTCTGCTTGATCGAACGGCGTAGGCTCAGAGGGAGTGGCAGAATGGATGGAGGTGCTGTTTACAGCGTGTAAGATGCACCTTTTCAATTCCTTCAGGGAAACAAGAGCAGCAAGAGCAACGACAACAAAAAAAAGAAAAAAAAATAAAAAATAAACAAAAAAATTAGAAACATTCACAAGCGTACGGACCTATATATGCATATTGTACGAAAGAAATAGGGAGAAAAAAGGTGAACGAAATGAACAGATCTTTCGGGCTTATGCAATCACATACATGTTTCCTGCTGAAGATGATGCTTGTCGAAGTAGTGATGCGGGCGCTGCTGGTGGTGTGTTCTCTGGGGACATGCCCAATTTGCCGCGTGTGTGAAAATTAACGTTAACACGAAACAAGAGGGAGTAATGACTCATTATTTTGTGTGCCGTTTCTTTTTTTTTTTTTTTCGTCAACACTCCCTTCTTTGGTTTCTGCTGCAGCTGGTTAACCGTTATTCTTGTCAGGAACACCATGGCGGTTATTCTTCTTTTTTTTTTTTCCAGGTTGCATTCCGTATAAATACACAAGGTGGCGGTGGTGGTGTTGAGGCCGTGGAAGTGTTGGCGTTCTCCCGATGAGTAATTCGCGGGAACAAGGGGAAGTGGGCAACGGCGCAAATGGCGACAGTGATAACAACAATGCTTCTCTCGCCATCATCGATATGGAGACGCGGACGGTGAGTGAAATCTCACCGATAGAGCTTGAACCTGAAGGCTTTTTCAGCTTTTCTAAGCGAGGGAAACTTACATGGTGGTCGGCGGTCATTCTGGCGCTCTACGTGGTGGGGACGCTTTCCGCCATTTTTGTACTTATCTTCTTCTCCGTGCGTCGCACATCTCCATTTAAAAAAAACTCTTCGAATGATAGTCGTACAACACGTGACATTGCCTTCACGTCGTGGCCGCCTTATTGTCAAAATGGTTGGCACCGGAAAACCTTTTCTTGTGCACGGCGCATGTGGATTGCGTCTTGCTTAGCAAATTGTATGCCTTACTGGCCGTCCTGGAAACGACGCAGTGTTGCACAGCCGAAGTTGCCGACGATATTTTTTACCGAGCATGTGCGTTGACTCGTCTGTAAATGTTGCGTGACCGTTGTTGTTGTTTTGCTCATGTCTTTCTTTTTCTGCATGACAGGCTTGAATGGCGGATGGAGATGCAGGCACGATTTTGACCCTTCTCCATATTTCTTATTTTATTTTTTTCTGCGTGCTTTGCTAAAAACCTTTTTTTTCCCCCTCATTGGCAGTTCCTCGTTGAAACTCGGGGCTCTCTCTCTTTTCCTTTTCCTTTTCCTTTTCCTCTCTCGGTGTGTCAACGTCATTAATGTCATTAACCCTGCTTGCATCGGTGTCTTGCTGCGTCTCTGGGTGTCTGCTTGTCGTTCTGTAGAAGACTCCTTCGTCGCTGCTTCGCCCTTTTGCTTTTTTGTCCCGGTGAAAGGCAGAATAGTGGACGGAAAAAAAGAAAGCAGAATAAAAACAACAACAACAATAACATGAGTGATGAACGGGATGCGTCCGTAGTGCAGGCGTTTACGGCTGCAGGTGGTGATGACAAGGCGTGCATCCACATCTTTGCGCGGAGCGGTTCAACGCCGGGGTGCTACGTGCTGGGCTCGTGGGCTGGCTTCATTGCGCGGGAGTATATCCGGTCCACTGCGGTGCTGAAGAACTGGGGCGGCGTGGAGGTGGTGGTGATGAACGACAGCATCGCGAAGGAGGTCATCCGTGACAGCCTTCTGCTGCGGGGGGTCTCCGTGAAGTATTACGAACGACAACCCGGTGGTGGTGGGGCCTACATATGCGTGCAGCGTGGCTCACCTGGGAACATTACCGACTTTGAGGCGACACTTTTTTCTTTTGAAGAGGCGGATATTCAGTTGATGGCGACGGGGGCAATTGTTCTCGAAAAAAATAGCTCCAGTAGCAGCAACTCGAGTAAGTGCATGCTGTCAGGCGGGCAGGGCGTTCGGGTGGGATTCGCCGCATTAAACACAACACTCCGGACCCTTACGTACGCGGAGTACCTCGACACACTGCAGCTAACCAGTCTGGATGCGCTGGTGGCGCAGTGCAACCTGAAGGAGCTCATCTATTTGAACAGGGGTAGAGGCAGCGGTGTTGGCAGGGAAGACGGGGCTGCAGCGACTGTCATCGACAGTGGACACGAAGAAGAGTCACTACAGGCGGTAAAACAGTTGTGCGAACGCGCGAATGTCGCGTACCGTGAATGGAGGCACAACGGCGCTGTCTTCTCGCAAGATCCTTTGCAGAAGCAGGGACGGTTGGAAGGTAATGTGGTAAAAGGCAATTTTCTCAGCGCCCTTGACGATATCCTTCGTGTGCCAGAGAGTAGGCTTGCCCTTTCTAACTGTCCATTGGCATCCCGGGCGGTTGAGCATCTTGTATTAAATAACATTGATGCCTTTGACACGACAAATCATCGTGCCTTTTACCTAAAACACACAGTGCCATCTACCTTTATGAAGCTGGACACCGCAGCAATACAAGCGTTGCACATCATACATCAGAAGCCAGAAGCACGTGGTTCCCTTCCCACTTCTGTTTATTCGTGGCTGAACCGCTGCGTCACTGGCATGGGATCTCGGATGATGCGACAGTGGTTACTTCAACCACTACGCAATGTGGAGGACATCGATCAACGTCTGTCACTCGTAGAGATGATGGTGGAAAATCCCATTTTGCGAGATGCTCTTCTTTCGCAGGTGCTGCGACGTTGTGGAGACATGGATCGGCTGAACCGCAAGCTTCAACGTCACAGCATTGCTTTAAAAGACATTCAGTCTATTCTAACGTTTGTAAACACCATTCCACAGGCGGTGCAGGTGTTGAGGAGTCACCACACTGGCCGAAGCGGAAGGTTGCTGATGGATGAATACGTCGCACCACTAGAAGACATTAACGATAATTTCAGAAACCTCCGTACCCTTATCACAGCTACTGTTGATCTATCGGATGAAAACACCGCCCGTATTAATCCTGAATTTGATGACGAACTAATAGAGTTGGAGGAGCAGCGGAAAAGCGTGGTCAAGGACATTAACAAGGAACACGAGCGCGCGATGAAGAAGTATGGATGGACAGAAAAACAATTAAAGTGTGAATACCATACAACGTACGGGTATGTTTTTCGTGTCTCCCGCAAGGAGGATCAACAGGTGCGCACAAGCAAGGAACTTATCACGGTAAGTACTTCCAAGGATGGTGTGCGTTTTGTTTCCGAGCGGCTGTCCTCGCTTAGTGAGCAACACAAAGGCATTCGGAAAGCCTACGATGCCCGCCAGCAGGATCTTAAACAAAAGCTTGTAAGTACTGTGGTGACGTACCTGCCACTCCTTGATGATGCAAAGGAGTTAATTGCGGCGCTGGATGTTTTTGTGGCCTGGGCAACTGTGGTGAAGGACTCTCCACATCCAATGGTTCGTCCAACGATCCGGTCACCTATGACAGCAGCGGAGGAAGGGAGCAACGGAAGCCTCATCACGATTGTAAACGTTCGTCACCCGCTTGTTGAACTTCGTCAGCCAAGATATGTCCCAAATACGGTACGACTCACTGACAATGCGAACGCGCTTATTATAACGGGACCAAACATGGGTGGCAAATCCACTTTTATGCGGAGCGTGGGGATAGCTGTTGTGCTTGCACAGGCTGGCTGCTTTGTACCGGCCGATTTGGCGGATATTGTTACAAGGGACGCTGTCATGTGTCGCGTTGGTGCTACGGATCACCTTGCACAAGGGGTGTCGACGTTTATGGTGGAGATGTTGGAGTCGGCTGCCATTTTAGCCGCCGCTACGCGGGAGTCTCTCGCCATTGTGGATGAAATTGGCCGTGGAACGTCTACCTACGATGGTTTTGGCTTGGCCTGGGCAATTGCACAGGAAGTGGCAGTTAATGCTCGATCCGCACTCCTCTTTTCCACCCATTTTCACGAGATGACGCAGCTAGCAGGGCTCCACACAAACGTGAGGAATGTGCACTTTGGTGCTGATGTCAACACAGTCGAAGGGACACTACGCTTCTCTTATCATCTGGAGCCTGGGCCGTGTGGTCGCAGTTATGGCTTGTATGTTGCCCAGCTCGCCAACCTTCCAGAGGAAGTTGTGCAATCCGCCAAGTGTAAGGCGGCAGAGTTGGAAACCTTTGAGCAGGATGAAGGACAAAAGCGAGCCCACACACTTCTCTCCTCTGCCTCCCCAGAAGTTAGTGAGCGGGTTGCCTACTATGCGAAATGCATACGTGACGTAAATGATACTAACTCAGATGCGGCAGATGAGGAAGCGAGGAAGCGGCTCCGTCTTGAAATCCAGCAGGATTCTCTCGTAGCATCTCTTCTTCAAGTGTAACATGAGAAGAAAACGTGTGTGAGTGTGTGTGCCTCTAAGAGCATCAGTTGACGTCTCTAATCACAGTTTTTAAGGCAACAAAAAAAGGATTTGGGCAGCAGAAGTAGGACTGGAAAGACCTGAAGCAAACATGATGGTTGACGGGACTAAGGAGTTGAGGGTAAGAGAAAAATAGAAGAAGGATGCGTGTATCTGTCTACTTGCTTTTGTTGCTTTCGACGCACTCACTCTCTTGCCCTGTCTATGCATGTGTGCATGCACATATGGACTTTTTGTTTTGTGCGTGTGTGTGGTTTTGTTTCTGTTTTTACCTGTATTTAAATAAATAATAAAAAAGAAGGCAGTGAGGGTGGGAGGAGTGGAGGAGCAAATTGGTTTTGGTGTGCGTGGAGGCGAAGTTGTGGTCATGTCATTAGCAATGATAAGGCGCTTTGTCTTTGATCTAGCCCATCCCGCTGCCATTAGGCGCTGCCCATAATTTGCCCAAGCACGATAGGCCTTATTCAGCATGAGGATGCTGTGATTCACTATTTGCACACCAAATACCGTGTTTTACAAGGTGCTTCTGTAAGGTTGAGCAGACCCTTGATGACTCTTTATTGCCATGGGAACGCAGAGGACTTCTTGGGTAATTGAGACGACACCCTGGTAGCTTTGGGCCGCGCGGTTAGAGTTGACATTGTTGTGTCCGACTAATGTGGCATGGCTTTTCAAGGGCGAAGGGTCAACGTGAGCCAACAGAGGAGCGAGTCTGTGCAGATGCAGTCGCCATATTTGAGGAACTCACTGATCGTCTTCATATTTGGGCCGTTTATCATTGTTCTCATTGGGACGCTTGATGGGTGGTGGGCCTGCCTCTTACTTGGCTTGGAAGCATCATTTTGCCATTACTGGGCTTATTCTGTGTTCCACCTTTACCTCATGTTTGGATGCGGTGAATTGTTCCTTTCTACGCTACCTATGTTTCCAAAGCATGCTTCCTAATGAAAAATTTCTACGAAATGTTGGTGACTGTCCTGTGTCTATTATGCACGGGAATAATGGCACTGTTGTGTTTCATTTAGCTGTACCGAGGGATTATCAAAGATCGTCGGACGGGCGCAGAAACGTCTCAACAGGGAAAGCACGGTAGGCCATCATTGGTTTGAGGGTGAGGGATGCAATCACAACAATCTTGAGGAGGTATACATGAATGTATTGAGTAGTGTCCCCAACACCTTGGAACGCGTGACAAGTTACAATGCTACTAGGCATACTCTGTCCTTGGGCAATTAATCTCCTTATATATATATATATATATATATGCATATTTTGCATTGGTTTGTTTTCCGTGTTTGTGTGCGCATGCTTTCTGGTTCTTTGATTACTTGAGAGTTGTTGTTGTTTTTTCTAACTTTCTATTCCAAGCTGCTTGAAGATGGGTGGGTGCGTCTTTATTGTGAAACGAGGGGGGGGGGGTACTGTGGCCGCTGCTGTTCGTTTTGTTTTGCCGCCGTAGCCTGAATGTCAACATGTACAGACATTGAATTTTCTCTGAGAGCCAATCATGGTGGAATTCCTTTTTTTTTTTTGTTTGGGGAATGTGGGGTCTCTTGCGCAGGAACCACGGAGGGAAAAAGAAATGGAGAGACCCATGAGAAGGGAAAGCATTCCTACATTGAGAATGCCTCCTCGCAACACGAAGTGTCCAGCTGGGAAATCTGAGCGACATTACACCACACTAGGGAAAAGCGAGAAATGCAGCAGAAGCGGTTCCCTGTACGTTTTTGACTTACCTGCGTTTCCACAGATGCGGGCTGCTCCCGGCAGAAGTGGCGTAGTAGAGACTATGTCGGGTATTCTACTTGTTGACGACGATGAGCCCCAACATGGAAGAACTCCGTCAGGGCATGGAGTAAATTCGTCTCGCACGGGCCCCATTGTTCCACCTGAAGACGTGGGGAAGGAAGATGAGGAATATAAGGATAGCGGGGATTTATCTTCCTCACTTTCGAGTGCCTATGTGCGGCACCGCCGCTACGAAAACCCCTTTACTGCCTATCAGCCGGTTTCGGATCCGTACGATCGCCACCGCGAAATGGAGCGGCAGCAACGGTTTATGAATGACAGCAAACAGCTAGGACGGCCGTTTATTCCATGTGGTGGGCGAGCACTAGAAAAGCCGACACGCTACATGTTGGGTGATTGCGTTGCTTCCATTTACCGTACGGTTGTGCGTGACTGGCCCGAGACAGCCCCAATGGTCATCTCCACCGCAGAGGACCTCATCGTTGTTTACATGAAACGGGATCGAGTGCGCAATACGCACACGCTGCTGCGTTATATGAACGACTCCTTGAAGCGAAACGAGGCGGTGCGTATGTTTGATTTAAGAAAGGTTCCCGAAGGGTGGGATGTCATTACCGATGATGGACATATGATGTACACCTTCAAGCCCCCGTGGGTGCGACAGAGGCGGTTTCTTCCAGATCAAGTCGTGGCCCACAAAGCACATTAGGGGGAAAAGATAGTGCTTTGTTGGTAATAGCAAAAAAAAAAAAGTACAGTGTATTATATATTTATATGCCTATATATACAAACACGTATGTGTATGTGTATCTTTCTTTGAACCAGTTGCATTTACATACGGAGCGTCGAGGATATTTTACCGCGCAGCCTTTTGGAGGAGTTGCCCCGCCGTTAAAGAGGAGGAGGGGGAAGGGGGTTACAATACACATAAGAAGTATATTACAGGGGTCGTGGATTGGAAGGGAAATATTACATCTATTTGTGGGCACATTATTACCCATGCTTGTGCAACACACACGCACACGAGAAGGGGCCCAAACTAAAACATTTGCCTCCCCCACCCTCACCCCCTCTAACACCGCGCTGCCACGGTGCCTAGAAATATTACTTATTCCACTGCTCCTACTTAGTGTCGTTTGGTTGACGTTGCTTCTGTTTATATTTTTATTTTTCTTTCGCGATGATGCACCGGCGCAGATTACAAGAAGTTAATAAGACGGTGTCAAGAACATTTGAAGGGAGCAGATGAAAAAGTGTTAACGAGAACGGGAATTGACTGGCATACCTCCAGTCTTTTTTTTTTTTTTTGCGTGCTAGATGGGGCTTTGCCCATGGATACTCGCAGGCTGTCAACTTCTCTTAATTCCATGTTCTACTTCTTTTTACTCTTCCTCATGTAGGCGCCGCCTCTGATGATGAATCCTGACGCGCCACCCTTCATTCCCACGTTTGCTCGTGCTAAAGTCAATCGTCAGGTGTACACTCGCGCAACACTAAAAAATATCGAGTTAACTGTTGTCCAAAGCATTGCCTCTGCTCCTTTGACTGACGCCCAGTCGACCCTACGCACACCGACGGACTTTGCCGCACTTTTAAACCGTCCTTACGCTATTGAGTGGCTGGATGTGGCTCATGTGGCTTCGTTGGTGCGGAGTGGTCAGCGTCTCGCGCGCAACGTCCATCCTCACGCGGCTTCACGTGACCAACGTGAGGTCACCATGCGTAGTAAGCAACCGTGTTGCACACAGTGTTGGCGGGGTCCGGAGGCCTGTTCTTTTATTAGTGAGGTGGTTGCAACTTCAGTGCGTCGTGCAGCCTGTAGCCGGCTTGGGGCTGCGATGCTTCAATCAGGCGATGTTGTATGGAGTTTGCTGCAGATGGCTTTGGTTTTTGAGGCCCGCCAAAGCTCCTTGAGGCTTCGCACACTAGCCGAACAACATCCAGCTGTGGTGGACCGTATTCGACAATATCTCTGTGGGGAGGGATATCACCTTCCGCTTCCTAGTGTTACTGCACACGAACAGTGGCAGGCTCTTAACTTGATGCTGAAATTTGACTGGATTCGTGACAGTCGCACTCGGATTTTTACAGAGATTTCGAAACGATGGAAGAAGCGTCACACACACTTTGAACAGTTTGTGCATTTCTTTGAGTACCGTGATGACCGCCCTCTACACCCCGTGAAAAACATGTTAACACATTCTGCTAAACCCGTACTAGTTTCTGTTCTGTCTGGGGATGTGCTTGCGGTGGTATTGCTTGCACGTCTTGGTTTTTTTGTGCCGCCTGACTACTACTGGGACATATTTCCTTTTTTTTCTCAGGCGTTGTTGACGGGGGACGGCGATGGGCAGATGTATCATCTCATGCGACACCTGTGCTTGCACCTTGAGGAGCGACAGCGTGCCCTCTGCCGTGACGTGTACAATCCCATTGTGCCTCCTCGGGAGAACTCCCCGTGAGAAAGCGTAAAAGACAAAAACGAAAAGTTGAAACGGGAAGGAGGGATCACAGTTTACAAAAAGCACAACAAGAAAAAAAGGAGGGAAAAATGTGGAGAATTTTTGAGGGAATGGAGACTTGGCACATTTGATGGTGACGGTGTTGTGTGATAGCATGACAACTGTCCTTGCTTTAGGTTTGTCTTTGGGGAGGAAGCATGAGAGAAATAAGCCGATGGTGCGAAAGGATCTGACGGGGTGGCGGTAACTTTCATCCACACTCAGGTGAGTGGAGAGTGAGGTGGGGAGCGGAGGATTGGATGCCGCGTATGTTCAGTGCTCTTCTGCTCTCCTTTGTTTGTTCTGCTCATGGCTGTGGCGCATGCCTGGATGTTTGATGTTTTCCCAGTTGTTGTTGTTGTTGTTGTTTTTGTTGCTTATTACGCTTTGCTTCCCAACGTTATGTGTGTTTGCTCTCGGTGCGGGTAAGGAGGAAGAAAAATAGAACGTTTGAGAAACATAAAGAGGCAGGGCAAAAATGCGGCAATGGGCATATGCGGAGTTGGACTCGACCCCCTCCGGTCGTTCCTCTGGAAAGCGACGCGCGCGCGCCAGTGGAACTATGTCGCTGCAGGAGCTCTCGGCGAACACCCTGCAGCTTTATCTTCGCTCACCAGGGGACGATGATGCCCCGCCCGTTCGTTTGTCGCGGCACATTCCCCAGCGTGAGGGAGTGGATATGGCTGTATCAGCCTACAACCTAACCAGCGCCAGCACGACCACACTCCCCATGCCTTCTGTCACGGCTGCAGCAGGTGGAGTAGGAGTTGGGAGCGGCAGTGGGGGATTGCCACTTCCGCACTCTACTGTGACGTCTCACTCCAGCGTTCATTCCGAGTCCTTTGTCTCTGATGATTCATCCTACGTGATGTCTATCTATAACGAAGTTCTTGCTGAACAGCTAAGTGACGAAAACACACTGAGGCATCGCAAGATTGGTGGGGATGTACTACGGTTTGATAGCACAGATGCCATGCGTAGCCGTGGACCCCGGTCAAACTCTGCTGGTATTAGTCGTGCTGTTGGTAGGGGCTGTGTGTCCTCACGTGGTGAAGCTGCTGGGAGAACATGTGCACGCCGCTGTGGCACAGGTGGAATCCCTGCACTCTCCCTGTCACCTTTTGCATCTCCACCAGCCGGGAACACGCTGATGAAGCGCCTTAGGCCCGGTAAACCAGTGACACAGCGGGTAATTTTTACCAACCCAGAACGGGTGCTGGATGCACCAAATTTTCCATTAGATGCCACACAACTCCTTCATTGGGGCAGTAATAACAAACTTATCATTGGATTAAAGAACTCCCTATATGGGTGGGACTCTGTGACGGCACAAGCTTCCTTAGTCGTTCAGTTACAGGATAGTATGCATATTCGTGCTGTGCACTGGTTGCATAGATGTGCATGTATAGCACTTGCACTGGATGATGGTGTGACCGCAATTTATGACTGCCGCAGTGAAGAATTTCTGCGAACCGTGCGTGTACGGCTTCCACCGAAGGAAGAAATTACCTTTCTTGCGCTGAATGGACCACTCCTTTCCATTGGTACTAGCACGTCATGTGGCGGTATTTACGTATTTGATCTTCGCGCCAAGCACGCACTGACCTCTGTATACGAAGGCCATACCAGCGCCATCACATCTCTGCATTACTGTACCGAAGAACCCTTTTACTTAGCCTCCGGTTCTGCAGACGGCTCCGTACGCGTGTGGGATGCGCGGCGCAATAGCAGTCCTCGCTATGCCTTTGATCATGTTCACAATGGCTCTGTGAATAGTATTTTGTGGAACCCGGACAAACGCAGCAAGATGTACACCGGCGGGCAGGATGGAATGCTTTGTTACGTGGACACACATGCTCCCCTGACAAATGTTCCGCCAGTTCTACGCAGTGACGAGGAAGGACCCACAACGGGCAGCCACTTTGTCACGCGAGCCATCAACACTCTACACCCTATCAGCGGCATTGTGTCACCGCCTGGTATCAACGAGTTGGCAACGTCCCACAGTGGGAAGGGGCATATCCAGATACGTCAGGTCAATAATTTTCACCTCATCGGTACACTAAACTCACCAAACTGCGAGGAAGATATTTTGTGCCCCACACTTGCCCCAGACATGGAACGCATTTGCGCCGCACAGGGGGAAACTCTAAAGTTTTGGCGCGTCTTTGCTCCGAGTAAGCAACAACCGCGAACAAAAAGCTCCACGCCACCGCCCGTCTCGCAGCTTGAAAAGGAACTTCGATAGCGCCTTAAGAAGACTGCTAACACGCCCACAATGGAAGGCAGCGGTTGGATGATTTATGCTGTAACCGTTTTTTTCTTCCCGACCCTGCAGCTGTTTCCTCACAGGCCTTTTTTACTCATTTTGTTTCTCACGTTTTTTTTTCTGTACTTCATTTTACTGGCGTAATCAATACTGAGGTGCATCTCTGCGCCACTCTTTTACCACTCATAACCTTCATTGACCAATCCACTAGATCCGTATTTCAATCACTCTCTCCACTTGTACACACACATACATGTGTGTATATATAAACATTATATATACATACTCCTATAATACGCCAATGGCAAGAACCTTTATAACTACGTCCGGAGCGCAGGAATTTGATTGCCGACGGCACCAACTCGAACAAACACAAGAATCGGTATACACAAAGCCAGAAAAGAAAAAAAATAAAAATAAAAAGAGGTCGCCAGCTTATCATCAATGTACATATGGTGCAAATCCTAGCACCTAACGCAATTAAAAAGTGAAACTTTTTCCACACGCAACAAAATACACAATGAAGACAGCCACGCCAAACTTACAACACCTACCTGACACACTAACCATTTTTTTCTTTTTTCTTCTTTATTGGCATTTTCCCTTTTTTTCGTGTGTGTGTTTCTTTTTCTCTTTTTTTTATTTTTGCGCCGCCAGCATCTAACTACGTCTTTCGTAACACAACACCAGCAGCATTCTGCGGCAAGTATAAGCAGGAAGAGCAAGCATACAGCCTATTACACACCCCAAGAAAAAGAGCCCCGTAAAGATGACCGAGACCTTCGCATTCCAGGCTGAGATTAATCAGCTAATGTCTCTCATCATTAATACATTTTACTCAAACAAGGAAATTTTTTTGCGTGAGCTGATCAGCAACTCGTCTGATGCGTGCGACAAGATCCGCTACCAGAGTCTGACGAACCAGGCTGTGCTGGGCGACGAGCCCCACCTTCGCATCCGCGTGGTCCCCGACAAGGCAAACAAGACGCTGACAGTGGAGGACACCGGTATTGGCATGACCAAGGCGGAGCTGGTGAACAAC